CACACGCATGCCTACCCCTACCTCCTCCCCTTCCAGAACAAGGCATCCAGGCTGCGAAGGAAGCAGGGCTGCCCCAGGAGCTGAGGAGCCTCATCACTGAGACTCTTCCAACATCTGGTCTCCAGAGAGTTTTAAGACATATGGAGAGATCTGCTCTGCACTAAGACTAACACCAGCTTTTCTGAAGTAGACAAGACAGAGCAGAAGGCCAGCCTGGGGTCTGGACTCCTGGGTTCTAAGCCTGCTCACGATGCTCTTCATTCCTTTACATCTTACCCTGGGATGGGTCAGCAAGCCACAACAACAAAACTATGCCAAGACACAACTCAGTGTGTTAAGTGGCTGGAGGTGGGGGTCCCCCTGCTCTATATCTCCTTGGGTGGCCCCCATGGGACTGTGCTCTGTGACCCTCTGGATGAGCAGGCGTTCTTGTTACCCTGCATCTCCCCTAATGCTGACAGTGACCATGGTTCCTGGGGTACCGAGCTTCCAGCAGGTGTGACCCACCTCCTGGGAAAGCCAGGTAGGTCCCAGGCCCCGTGGGTAGCATCACGTGGGTAGCTCCACGTGGCCCCGTGGGTAGCATCAGCCTCATGCTCAGAGAATGCACAGGCCTGTCCTGAATCAGACACCTGGGCCACAGAAGGAGACACGCTGGGCTGGGATCCTCCTGAGCAAGCTCTCTGAGCTCTGTCTGTGGGAACAGCTGAGCCCACAGGGGATCACACACAGAAGGCTGCCAGGGAGAAGGGTATTTTCCACGCGAGCAGTTAGCCCTGATCTGATACCTTAGGTAACAGGAAGGATCACGAATCCAGCCCTTCCATTATACAGAAAAGGAGACTGAGGCCTAGGAAGGAGCAGCATCTTCCCCGAGGAGGCACAGTAAAATTAAAGCCAGAAGCCAAACTCCAAGGTATTGAAATTTGTCTTCTAAGATCCCCAGCTCACCCTTCTGGAGGCGGCACCTTCTACCCTGCACAGGAAGTGCCTTCGGGTACCTTCCCTCCTCCTTTATCAGAACCACTCCCAGGAGAAGACACAGAAGCCTGCTCCCAGTGAGGAGGAAGTGACAGGTGCAGGAATGGCGCAGGGCACACCAAGAAGCAAAGCTTTAACTGGAGGGTCAAGGGTGGAGAGAGGAGCGGCCCCCTGGCCCTGTGGCCCATCCAGGTGCGAGGCCTCCCCAGCTGCACTCCCAGGTATATGGGCAGGTGTGGCTTGGAGACCTGCACCCCAATGCCTGGCTTAATGCACTGATGTTGACCTTTTAAAAGTCTTAATAATTTTAAACAAGGATCCCACATTTTATTTTTCACTGGGCGTTGCAAATTACGGAGCTGGTCCTCACTCACCAGCAATTAATCGTGTGTCCCTGAATTAGTGTCTTAACCTCTGGGAACTTGTTTTCTCCTCTGTAGATAGAAAGAGTAACAGCACCTGCCTCACAAAATGGTTATAAAGACGAATTAAGAGAAGACAAGCAGAGCTCTCAGCAGGTGCCTGGCATCTGGTAAATACTTAGCCAATGAGAGTTACTACTCCAGATAAAGTAACAATGACAAACTATTACACAACCCTGCAGATCCCTGCTCGATAAAATGGATGCTAACAACGGCACCCTGGATCTGCGAATCAGGAGGGGGGTCCCAGGTGCCCAGTCACCAGGCCTCTTACTTTCCCGAAACGGCTGTGTTTGCATCTGCAGGCGGATCTTGATGAGGTCCACGGGTGTGCCCAGGCCAACGGACACCACGCCGGCCACCATGCTGGCCAGGAGCAGGTCCGACAGGGTGTGGGGCCGGCCGGCCTCGGGCTCCCTGCTGTGGTACTGGCTGAGGAACCTCTGCGTGTTACTGAAGACCCCAAACACCACAGAGTTGTAGACGGCGACGCTGGCCAGGGGGAAGGACATGCCCTTGAAGAAGCCGAACACCTGTGGGGAAACCCGGGGGGGGAGCGTGAGCACTGCAGGCCGGTGCCAGGCTCCCCACACTGTCCTGGGCACAGACCCTGCAGGCTGGTGTGCCAGTGAGCAGGACGAAGGATGCTGATGTGAAAGGAGACGGGCGGGGAGGGCATTCCTGCCCTGAGGAACCGGCTTCTGTGTGAGGGTGGTGTCCTGGGCCTGGAACCTGTATTTGCCCCGAGAGGCAGTGCTCTTGGGGTGGCCCAGGGGGAGCCTGTGGAGCACTAGTGGGTAATGGGCTTGCCAAGCATCACACACACCCTCCTCATTTGCCTCTCCAACAAAAGCTTTCTCTGGGCACTTGCCACGTGCCAGGCCCTGGGGACAGCAATACAGAAGAAAGCCTTCCCTGAGTTCATGGCCTCGGGGGGGG